GCTGGAGTGAGGCAGGGAGGGAAGGAGGAGATATACAGCGAAATGTTAAGCATTTAAGTCACCATAAAGCCCCTTTTTGTTTTTAAAAGCCCCGGACATTACTTAAAGCAGATTTAAATACAGTTCTGGTTCAAATTTATGGGGATTTTTTTATCAGGACAAGTAGCTTGGGACACCGATTTAGTCCCTGGACAAGTAGTTTTTTAAAAAATTTCCACACCCCTAAAGAGACGCGCAAGGGTGTTTTCTATTAGTCAAAGGACATTTAGAGGGAAATCTAGTGACCTTTCTGATTTTATTATACCCCTAACGTGAATCAGGTAGCCTTTTTCCGATCCCTGTTTCAATCTTTTATCTACTGAATTGGAAGGCGATGTCATTATAGCAGGGGATTCAAATCTAGCCTTGGATCAAACACTTGACAAATCGCATACAGCTAACCTTAAATCCCCTCCCAAACAAAGTCGCTAATTTGCACAAGTTTTGTGTCACTATAATTTGATAGTTGCTTGGAGAGAGGCCAATCCTACCTCAAGAGACTATTCCCATGTTTCTAGAGCTCACAATCGTTATTCGCGTATAGATCACCTTTTCTCCCTATGGAGATGCTATCCAAATTACGTTCAGCCAAAATTGTATCGACACCCTGGTCAGACCATGACCCTGTGATGCAGACGCTTTCTAACTTAACTACCAACCTGGCCAAGCCACAATGGCGATTGAATGAGTCCCTTCTTAGCAATGAGTCCGTCTGCCTAGAAGTAGTGGAACACTTAAATTCTTACTTTACCATTAATAAAACGGAAGATACAACCCCTGCTATTAACTGGACAGCTCATAAAGCCTCTGTTAGAGGTTTTTTTATCTAACTATCCTCTAACTATCATCTAACTATCCTCTAGACTTAAATGATCTCACGAAGAGTTGACTTCTGCCAAAACTAAGGAGTATGAGGCTTTAACAGCCCAACACAAAATTGCCCCAACTCCAGACTTGTTACTTAAGGTGGAGCAAGCTCGTTTAGAACTTAATCTTTTGTCTTACCATGAAAGTGGAAAAACAACTGCGTTGGATGAACCATAAATTCTTCATATGGCGAGACAAACCAGGTTCCCGCGTAAACTTGCCCATAAACATACCTATTCGGCGCTTCCTAAGCTCAGGCTTTTGGAGGGTCATATCTCACAGGATCCTCAGAAGATCCTTTGGGAATTGCACAATTTCTATGCTACTCTATACAGTCAACCTCAGCCTGTTGAGCCTTCTTTGCTTCAAGATTTTTTAGGGTCCTTGCCGCTTCCATCCCTTGCCGAGGCCCACAGGCAACTTATGGAACAACCTATCACTAGCGATGAGCTTAGCAAAGTTATTAAAACACTATCGTTACATAAATGTCCAGGCCCCAATGGCCTACCGAACACTTACTACAAAACTTTTTTCTGAACAACTTCTCTCCCATATGGCACTTTACTTCAGTTCTTTAAGAGAGGACGGTGTGATCCCTTTAGATGAGAACAAAGCATATATTAGCATCATTCCTAAACCTAATAAGGACTGATATCCTCAATTATCACCTTATTTCGTTATTGTGACCTGAAAATCCTAACAAAACTTTTGGCTTTGCATCTGAATTCCTTTTTGGCACAGTATGTTCACAAAGACCAGTCATGTTTCATATCTGGTCGCCCAAACGTTGGATCACATTCATCTGTCCATCGTTCTGATTTCCGCTGTCTGCTCTAAATGGGATGCTTCCCTCTCTCGGGAGTTTTTGCATCTTTCTTTGGACCTTCATAAAGCTTTCGACTGTTTAACTTGGGAATACTTGTTTACTACCTTGCAAGCTTTCAGATTTGGTCCTGCATTTCTTACACTATTTTATTCACAATATAATACCCACTCGGCTCAAGTGTCCATTAGAGGTTACATATCTTCTGTGTTTCCAATTCGACGCGGCACTAGACAAGGTTGTCCACTCTCCCCACTGCTTTTTGCATTGGCAATAGAACCCTTTGCTATGGCGATCTGTTCTCATCCCGAAATCCATGGTGTCCATTGTGGGTGACAGGAACATAAATGTGCTCTATTTGCTGATGAAGTCCTTATGTATATTACCTCCCCTTTGACCACCGTACCTAATCTACTATCTCTTTTGCGCCACTTCTCTGACTTTTCTGGGCCTTCCTTAAATCCTCAGAAAACAATAGCCCTTAATGTTTTGTTACCCTCTTATTTTTATAGAACAACAGCTTAGGACTACATATAACTGTCAATGGGCATGCAATTCTTTGCCCTATTTAGAGATTAATCTGACTGCTTCTACTGAGACCCTATATAAAGCAAACTATCCCCCCCCCCCCCCTTTTTAAACCACTTAGAGATGATTTTTGCCGTTGGGCTGCTTACTCTATATCCTGGTTTGGTAGGATCATTTCAATTAAAATGACGTTTTTTTGCCTCGATTGCTATATTATTTTCTGACCTTACCGGTGCCAATTCCAAGATGTGAGATATAGCACCTACAAACTGAGGTTCTTCATTTTGTTTGGAACAATAGAAGACCTCAGATGAACCAGAAGACACTATATGCCTCAAAAAAATGAGGTGGCCTTCCTAATCATCAAGCATATTTCCTAGCTGCCCAAATTGCTCAACTGGCCTATACCACTGCTAAAGGATCTGCTCCCCTCTGGGTTTCTATTGAAGCTCTCTCCTGCCATCCTTTAGCAGTCGGTTCTTTACTTTGGCTTTCCAATTGATCTCGCCCTCCTAGATTGTGTCCCACTCTGTTTTACTCCTTGACAATCTGGGATAGCATGCGCCATCGAAAATCACTAGCTTCCCTGCACACGCCTTTGGAGCCTGTTTTTTGTAACCCTGAATTCATACCTGGCTTAGTTCCGGCTCCATTCCAATGGTGGATCAGTAAGGGGTTATTGCGGATAGACTACCGCCAGGGTGACCGAATTTACTCCTTCCAACATTTTAAAGATAAATTGCAAATTCCTCCTACCGAAATCTTTAGTTTTATTCAAGTCGTCTTTTATCCACTCAAAAATGATGTTAGACGGACCACCCATTCTTACCAATTTTGAACTTTCCTGCCAAAATAAAGATTTCTCTAGAGGTCGTATCTCTACGGTGTATGTTTTCCTTACTGATCCGAGTTGTTGGTTTCCCTATATGGATCAATGGGAACGGGACCTGAATGTTACTTACGATCTATCTGATTGGCAAGATATTGCCTTGGCATTATCTAAAGTTTCCATCAATACCACCCTAATTGAAGCAAATTATAAAATACTATTACGATGGTATTTGGTCCCAACTCGGACTGCAAGGATGCATCCATCTGCCTCACCGATGTGCTTTCAGCGTTGCCACCAGATGGGCTCTATGTATCACGTCTGTTGGCAATGTATGATAGCATCCAGATTTTGTATCCGCATATTTAATTTTATCTATACGGTGACAGGGGTGAATATTCGCAGATAGATCCCCGGAGACGGCCCTCTTTCATAAATATCCAAATACAATTCCTAAAATATCCCTTAAATTGCTCACTTATATGCTGTTGGCAGCGACAATTTAGTATTGCTAGACATTGGAAGAAATCGATTATCCCACTCGATATATGTGAAGAATAAATTGAATTGGATCGTGATTAATGACACTCACTTGTATTCTACACAACAATACTAAAAAATGTGATAAAACGTGGGATCCGTGGATTCGATACATTACCATGCCTTGATGTCTTCCGATTCGACCCTCTCCTTTTTCTTTTTCCTGTCTTAATTTTTACTATCCCTTTTTCTTTTGTTCTCTGGGGCTAGTTGAGACTAATCCCTATTCGCTCTAAAACATTTATCATGCTTCGAATGACACTCGTTCTGTGTGTATTCTTAGGTTTACGAACAATGGTTCTCTCCTTTCCCCTTCCATTACATCCCCCCCCCGACTCTCCCTTTTCCTGCCCCTCTCCAGCCTTCCTCTCCCCCGTTACCCCACCATTACCTTCGTCACCTGTATATGGTTGGATTAATGATGGAGACTGTCTGTTTGAATTATTCAATTGTTTTTATACAGATTCTCTGGTTTCCTAATGTACAGTATCTCACAGAAGTGAGTACACCACTCACATTTTTTGTAAATATTATATTTTCATGTAACAACACTGAAGAAATTTCACTTTGCTACAATGTAAAGTAGTGAGTGTACAGCTTGAGGGGACAGAAAATTTACACTGCACACTCACTACTTTAGGACTGTATGTCCTATGTTCGTTAAACCATTATGTGTTGCTTGAAACCTACTTATTATGACATGAAATTTGTCTATTTTCACTATTTGTTATTTGAAAAAAATGTTTCTTAATAAAAATGATTGGAAAATAAATGGGTTTCTGCTTTTTGATTTTTACTTTTTAGACCTTTTTCCCTGCCTTCATTCACCCTAGGGCGAATAACCGCACCCTGCTCCTGCAGCCACCTGGTATACTGTTGTCAGATACAGTTCCTTGAAAAAGTATTCATAACATTTAAAATTTTCCTCATTGTGTCATGTTACAACGAAAAACGTTATTGTATTTTTATTGGAATTTTATGTGATAGACCAACACAAAGTGGCACATGATTGTGAAGTGGAAGGAAAATAATGGTTTTCAAAATGTTTTACAACAAATTCATTCTGCTTTAGATGCATCCACAGTTTCATCTCAGACAACAACAGACTCTGATCTGAGAAGTTTTTCCTTGGTCACAGTTATTCTGTATACAGTATACCTGGAGCGGTAGTAATTGCACATCAAACCAGTAGATGGCAAAGGAGGTTAATCTGGAGTGACAGCTTCCAGTATGTTATATGATGAAAGGCTTGCAGTATGCTATATGCCTAAATGTTTCAACAGAGTTTGTATTGCATTACTTTTCTGTAAATACATCTGGAATATGATGTGTATTGTGATTGTGCTAATGATTTTTTTTTTAATGTGTTATCAGGTTGAGAGACTTGAAGCCAAAGTGGTTGAACCATTGAAAAGCTATGGTTCCGTCATTAAACTTAAAAGGGTAGGTACGTACCTTATTTTTTTTTTTTTTTTTGCTGAAGTATCAATATAAATATAGAGGGTGAAGGTGAGTTAGGAAGTACTAAATGTAAGATAGCACCCCTGAGCAAACAGAGATCTTAGACATACTAATGGAAACTTGTTCTGACAGAAGTATGTAGACTGCTGACATCTACTTCTGAAAATACTAGTTTTTGCACTGTCATGCCGATTCAATACTTTCTGAGACACTGACATCAAAAAAGTATGCAGATAGGAGTTCTGACTTTCTAATGCATGCTCTTATTCTGTAACTCATTCTGTCAAAATATTGTGGAGCCTGTAAACAGCCAGGTGACTTGCATTTTCTATTGTAAGTCCAGAATGACTGCCTCTGTTTTTCTCTAGTACAGATTTCTTTAAATGGATCAGGTTATTATAGAAACCGTAGGAAAAAACACAGCAGTCAGATGTTGGTCCTTGAATGTAGTTTATTGTCCAAAAAGCTAAAATCCAGTCATGACAGGGACACCAACACATTTCTGCCAATGAGGCCTTAATCATAGCTATCTGTCAGAACCTCTAGGTCACAAATACCATCATCTCCTGTGCAAAAGTGGGAGGTGTTACAGATCTCCAGCTATATTACATTGTAATCAAAATATCTAAAAACAATATATTAAAGAAATGGACAAAGGCTACATCAGCTCTGTCTCTATGTAAGAACATATCTATTAATTTATAACATCAATTATAGCAATAAGCTATTATGATAAACTGGCAACAGGATAAAACTAACATCATGTCAGGAAAAGGCTGATATCCCAGCAATGAGGCGTCCTTGACCCCCCCCCTCTTAATGACCCTTTTTTTGAAAAGTAGACACCCCAAACTATTTGCTGAGAGGCATGTTGAGTCAATAGAAGAATTTTATAGATTTTTACCACAAATGTTTGGAAAATAACTAAAAATAAAAACTTTTTTTTTTACACAAAATTGTCATTTAAATGATTTATTGCTTACGCATGCAATGGATGTATGTAGAATTACTCCCCAAAATACATTCTGCTACTTCTTCCGAGTATGGGGGTACCACATGTGAGAGACTTTTTGGCAGTCTAGCCACGTACAGGACCCCGAAATCCAATAAGCACCTTCAGGCTTTTAAAGGGCTTTATTTCCTCTTTACACTTTCTGACTACCTATGACAGGTTCGGAGGCTCTGAAATTCCAGTATGAAACCCCCCCCCCCCCAAATTACCCCTATTTGGAAAGTAGACACTCCAAGGAATTTGATAAGCAGCATGATGAGTATATTGCAGATCTCATTTGTTGCCACAAGTTGTTAGAAAATGAAGAAAGAAAACAGAAATATATTTTTTCTTTTATTTACTTTTTATTTTTCAAGACCTTGTGAGAAAACATGAGATCTGAAAAATACTCACTATGCCTCTTAAATTCCTTGGGGTGTCTGCTTTCCAAAAAGGGGTCATTTGGGGGGGGGGGGAGGGGTTGGTGCTATCCTGGCATTTCAGGGCCTCCGAAACTGGAAACTATGATAGGTAATGAGGAAGTGTTGGTCTTTTTTTGTTTATAGAGCACAAAAAGAAACAATCCCCAGAGGTGATCTAATACCACCAAAAGAAAGCTCTATTTGTGTGAAAAAAAAGACATACATTTAATTTATGTACAGCATTGCATGACGGTGCAATTGTCAGTTAACCGTTTCAATACCGTGCAATTTTACACCTTCCTGCCCAGGCCATTTTTCAGGTTTCAGCGCTCTCACACTTTGAATGACAATTGCGCGGTCATACAACACTGTACCCAAACTAAAATTTTATCATTTTCTTCACACAACTAGAGCTTTCTTTTGGTGGTATTTAATCACCGCTGGGGTTTTTATTTTTTGCTAAATTAACAAAAAAAGACCAAAAATTTTGGAAAAAAAAACACATTTTTCTTTGTTTCTGTTATAAAAGTTTACAAATAAATAATTGTTCTTCATAAATTTAGGCCGAGATGTATTCTGCTACATGTCTTTGGTGAAAATAACCCAAATTAGGATGTATTTTTTAGTTTGTAGGAAAGTTATAGAGTTCACAAACTATGGTATAGATCTGAATATTGATCAATCCTGAAGTACTGACAGCCAATCTAATTTCTTGAGGTCCAAGAATGTCAGAATAGTACAGATATCCCCAAATGACCCCTTTTTGCAGAGTAGACAGTCCGACGTACTTCATAAGAGGCATGGCGAGTTTTTTGAAGTTGTATTTTTTTGTCATAATTTTTCCGAAAATGAAAAAATGAAAAAAATTATTTTCACTATTTTTTTTTTTACATACTGTCACCAGTGCAGTACAGCGTCATCATATAACTGGCATGGCGGTGAACAGGGACACTGATTGGTGACAGTATGAAAAAAAAATATATATATATTTTTTTTTATTTTTTTATTATATTTAATTTTTTATTACATTTTTTTTTTATTTTTTTTAAGATTTATTTTCATATTTTACTATGACCAAAATAGTACAATGTTACCATAGTAACATTGTACTACTTTGGGGAAGTGATCAGTATTTTTTTTTTTACACAATTTGCTTATAGCAAAGAATTACTTTGCTATAAGCAAGCATTTACCTGAATGACATTGATTCATTCAGCCTTTTTTTTTTTTTTTTTTTTTTTTTTTTTTTTTTGTGCTTAGCTGTGATTTGGTCACAGCTAATCACATGACATGTGCATGTGATTAGCTGTGACCATTCACAGCTAGGCACTAGTATACAATGGATGGCATCATGAATGAAGCCATCCATGTATACAACTGTCATGTGACCTGCTGTGATTGGTCATAGCAGGTCACATGGTACCAGCAACAGGAGCCGGTACTCGGATCTGTCATCGGCCGTGTCCGAGGTGCACGGCCGCCGACAGATTGCACTGCTGCGCCGCTCTGCACTAGCGCAAACGGCGCATGTGCGGGAGCACGCCAAATGGCGTGCACCCGGAATGGAGGAGCACATCTGAAGCCGCCAAACGGCCATTGGCCGGGCGGCTAATGGTTAAACTAGCGTAGCACAGTATAGCAAAAAATGGTGTGAATTCCAATATCTATACCACCATTTGTAGACGCTATAACTTTCACACAAGCCAATTAATATACACCTATTGGGATTTTTTTTTACCAGAGACATATAGCAAAATACATTTTGGCCTAAATTTATGACGGAATTTGAGTTTATTGGATATTTTTTATGACCGAAATGAGAATATATCGGGGCTTGAGGGGGGTTTCTAAATTATCAGTCTTTTTTTTTTTTGTTTATAGTGCAAAAAAAAAAAAAAAAAACCCCAGAGGTGATAAAATACCACCAAAAGAGAGCTCTATTTGTGTGAAAAAGGACATAAATTTAATTTATGTACAGTATTGCATGACCGCGCAATTGTCAGTTAATCTAGGACAGCACAGTATAGCAAAAAGTGGCATAAATTCTAATATCTATACGGCCATTTGTGGACGCTATAACTTTCACACAAACCATTTAATATGCAGTTATTGGGATTTTTTAACAAACACTTTTTGGCTTAAATTTATGACTAGCTTTGAGTTGACTATATATATTTTTTATAGCTGAAAGTAAATATCATTTTTTTTTGTTTTTTGGGGGGGGGGGGTTTCCTCATAATTTTTTCTTTTTTTGTTTATAGCGCAAAAAATATCACCAAAAGAAAGCTCTATTTGTGTGGGGAAAAAAGAACATATATTTTGTTTGGGTACAGCATTGCATGACTGGGCAATTACCAGTAAAAATAGTGCAGCGCTGAATAGCAAAAAAAAAAAGGCCTGGTGAGGAAGGGGGTAAATCCTCTGGAGGGCAAGTGGTTAAAGGCACACTGATAAGCTGTTATGATTTATAATGGCTAGAGGACAAAAGTGAGCCCAGGGTGGGTACTCGCCTACTAGAAAAATGACAGCCATCCTTTAAGGTGTCCTAGAGTTGTCTGTCCCTGTACAGTGGTGACTGCTTTTTCTATTGTAAGCAATGATTTTACCCCATTTGAATCGGCCAGTGGGAATAACCCCTCCTCTTATAGTCTTTTCTAAATTATATTGGATTCCGTCTCAATTCTGTCTCAGAGTACCTGTTGAGCAATATCTTCTGGCTACAATCAAAATCCTTGGAGGAGTTTTTATGGAACACATACTTGTGTACTCAAAAAGGTATTTGTATCTGGTCTACATCTACCCGGAAGTATGGCGAGTTTTATACAAGCAAAATGCAGTAAACAATGGAGTCATTCTGTTCCCCTCACAGAAAGAAATGGTAATGATAGAAGTGACCAGCACTCTCTGTATAACCAAAGATCAAACGTCATACATCCATCAACTTCTTCCTGAAAATCCAATCTTCCTACACAGTGATCTCCCAAAAAAAGAAATATAGTATAGTATGCTCAATACACCATGCTTCAAATCCTGTCCAATGTGCTCACATTTATAATAAATAACCATATTTGTATTTGTTCACCAATGTTCTTCGTTATCTACCCTTACCCTTCGTATACTTGGTGTATATCCAATCATTTATTCTCAGATCCACTTCATATCTGTGGCTCCTTGTGTCTGGTACTTCAATGGTCATCTCACATCAAGATCAACACGATTTCACCCAAAATACAGATATGGTGCAAAACTGTTTTCTAATACTCTCTCCCAGATAGAAAGTCACTCACATTATAATATATTAACTGTGCATTCCCATTAATACCCATAGAAGGATCCATCAAGTGTATCACCTCAGCAAAGACACTCCAAGCTCTTTACCGAAACGTCCAATAAACTGCTTTTAATAAACCATTCCACCTTCTTCCTGCTCTTTACCAGCGTGACTTGTGCGAATAGTCCCCAAAAAAAACAGACTAATATAGTGTGATATTGTGTCCCTTCCTGTGACGTCTGACACCGGAATTTATGTAATCGTGTATTCCGTAAGTGCCGCAGCAGCCATTTTAGAAGTGGTTACAGGCATTTTTTACACTGTCATTGCATAAATTGGAATAAATATATGAATTTATAAGGATTTACTGCACTATGGCCTCTGTATGTTATCTCTTGCATGGGAACACTGGAGAGAAGCTGGAGATAAGAAGGGGACTGTTGACAGTGGATGAATTTGGTGCAAAGTGATTTTAATGTCATCAATCTGGCAAGGTGCTGAAGTGACATTATTAAACACTTGTATGCGGTGGATCTGTATCATTTAAAGGTATATGCACTATTTTGGTGGTGTGGAAATGAGTGGTTTTAAGCGATGTTTATAAGCAATATCATACTATATTAGTCTTTGACTTTTTTTGGGGACTATTCACACAAGTCACGCTGGTAAAGAGCAGGAAGAAGGTGAAACGGTTTATTAAAAGCAGTTTATTGGATGTTCAGTAAGGAGCTTGGAGTGTCTTTGCCAAAGTGAAACATTTGGTGGATCCTTCTATGGGTGTTAATGGGAAAGCACAGTTAATATATTGTGAGTTACTTTCTATCTGGGTAAGATTTTTTAGAAAACAGTATCACACTATATTGGTATTTTGGGTGAAATCGTGTGGATCTTCATGTGGACAACCATTGAAGTACTAGACACAAGGAGACAGAGCTGAAGTGGATCTGAGAATAATTGATTGGATATATACGATGTATATGAAGGGTAAGGGTAGATAAAGAAGAACACTGGTGAACAAATACAAATATGGTTATTTATTATAAATGTGAGCACACTGGACAGGATTTGAAGCATGGTGTATTGAGCATACTATACTATAATAAAAAAATATATATATTGGACATTTTCACTTAGGAGTGTATTCCCTGTTGTTGCCAGCAGTTTAGACATTATTGCTGTGTGTTGAGTTATTTTGAGGGTACAGCAATTTACACTGTTATACAAGCTGTACACCCACTACGTCACATTGTAGCAAAGTGTCATTTCTTCAGTGCTGTCACATTAAAAGATATAACAAAATATTTACAAACATTTGAGGGGTGTACTCACTTCTGTGAGATAAGTATATATATATATTTATATAATTTTTATTTTGGGGGGGGGGGGATCACTGTACAGGAAGATTGGATTTACAGGAAGAAGTTGATGGATGCATTATGGCTGATCTTCGGTTATACAGAGACAATATTGAGCTTAATATTTTAAGAGCTTTCTGAAATGTTAGTTTTATCCATTTATGCAATTTTATCATAATCGCCTATGGGTATATTTGATGTTATATGATGACACAGGGCTGAGAGTCCATTGTCCATTTGTGCATTTGTCTTATACTGTATGTTGTTTTTAGTTCTTTTGATTACAATTTAATACAGTTGGTGATTTGTAACATTTCCCCCTGTTGCACAGGGGGCTGATAGTATTTATTTGTGACCTAGAGGGTCTGACAGATGTCTATGATTAGGGCCTCTTTAGCCGAAACACATTCGCATCTATGGCATGACTGGATGTTAACCTTTTGACAATAAACTACATTCAACTGCTGGCTTTTTCCTATGACTTCTTCATTTAAGTTGGTATGAAGAGCATTATTTTTTTATTTTATTTTTTTTTTTAGCCTTCTGAAATGTGCAGATTGACAATGGCTTTGATCTTGTGTGTAATATTTATATTATTTTATGCCAAACAAGATGTGACTGGTTCTCTTTAATGGGAAATTAAACATCCTTAACTCTTTTTTTTTTTTTTTTTTTTTTTTTTTTTTCTGTTTTTCAGGAGGACCTTAAAGTGACGTTAACTGCTCGGAATAGAGAAGCAAAGCAAATGGCTCAGTTGGAGAAAACTCGCCAGAGAAATCCATCAGATCGGCAAATTATTGTATCCTTTAATAAGGACCAGTGGCCTTTGGTAGTAATATAATTAAAAGATTAAAAGAAAATTAAAGGAACTTTTTTTTAATCAGAGTATAGCATCAAGTCAATTAAACTCCTGGGATAATGCTCTGGTCAGTTAAGTAGCAGAGGGGGTTGTTGTTAATTTCATTAACACCAAAGCAGCTGAAAATGATTAACAGGTGCACTAGATGGGCAACAATGAGACGATCCCCAAAACAGGAATGGTTTTACAGGTGGATGCCACTGATATTTTTTGCTTACTCATCTTTTCTTATTGTTTTTCACTGGTTTTGCATTTGGCTAGGGTCAGTGTCACTATTGGTGGTACATGAGGCGATACCTGGACTCTACAGAGGTTGCACAGGCAGTCCAACTCTTCCTGGATGGCACATCAATACGTGCCATTGCCAGAAGGGTTGCTGTGTCTCCCAACACAGTCTCAAGAGCATGGAGGAGATACCAGGAGACAGGCATTTACTTTAGTAGAGCTGGACAGGGCCGCAGAAGGTCCTTAACCCATCAGCAGGACCGGCATTTGCTCCTTTGTGCAAGGAGGAACAGGATGAGCACTGCCAGAGCCCTACAAAATGACCTCCAGCAGGCCATTGGTGTGAATGTCTCTGACCAAACAATCAGAAACAGACTTCTTGAGGGTGGCCTGAGGGCCCGACGTCCTCTAGTGGACCCTGTGCTCACTGTCCAGCAACATAGAGCTTGATTGGCATTTGCCATTGAATACCAGAATTGACAGGTCCGCCACTGGCGCCCTGTGTTTTTCACAGATGAGAGCAGATTCACCCTGAGCACATGTAACGATGTGGAAGGGTCTGGAGAAGTCGTGATGAATGTTATGCTGCCTGTAACATCGTTCAGCATGACCGTTTTGGTGGTGGGTCAGTGATGGTCTGGGGAGGCATATCCATGGAGGGACGTACAGACCTCTACAAGCTAGACAATGGCACCCTGACTGCCATTAGGTATTGGGGATGAAATCCTTTGGATCCATTGTCAGACCCTACGCTGGTGCAGTGGGTCCTGGGTTCCTCCTGGTGCACGACAATGCCCGGCCTAATGTGGCGAGAGTATGCAGGCAGTTCCTGGACGATGAAGGATTTGATACCATTGAATGCTCCCCATGCTCGCCAGGCTTAAATCCAATAAAACACCTCTGGGATGTCATGTTTTGGTCCTTCCGATGCTGCCAGGTTGCACTTCAGACTGTTCAGGAGCTCAGTGATGCCCTGGTCCAGATCTGGGAGGAAATACCCCAGGGCACCATCTATCGCCTCATTGGGAGCATGTCCTGACATCAGTCAGGCATACAAGCACGTGGGGGCCATACAAACTACTGAGTACCATTTTGAGTTGCTGCAATGAAATTTCAGCAAAATGGACTAGCCTGCTGCATAATTTTTTCACCTTGATTTTCGTGGTGTCTTTGAATTCAGTCCTCTGTAGGTTGATCATTTTCATCTAACGATGGGGCATCCTTACGTTCCTAACAAATTACCCAGTCCATATCAGTATAGATATCCAGCATGATAATTTTCCCCATTGAGATCTGATGTGTTTTCAAAGTGTTCCTTTAATTTTTTTAAAGTGTGTGTATATAATATATAGTATTTTTTTCCCTAACCAATTAAAAGTCACAGGTATGAATACCATTTTAAAATGAACTTACAGGAGCGGGTATTGGTAACATTATTCTATTATATCACTGAAAAATTGATGTATGATACAATCCGTCATTGCTAATAGCACCATATTTACTGAGCCCCCGTAACATAGATTTATTAGTTTTGATCCTACCAATAGTTATGTTGATTTTCAGCTTTCACCCTGTGTACAAGTCCAGGTGGGGGTAAAACAGTATTAACCACTGGTATTAACCACTTGCCCTCCTGAGGATTTACCCCCCTTCCTGACCAGGCCATTTTTTGCGTTGCGGCGCTGCGTTACTTGAACTGACAATTACGCGGTCATCCAATGCTGCATCCAAATGAAAGTTACGTCTTTTCTTTTTCCCACTAATTGAGTTTTCTTTTGGTGGTATTTGATCGCATGTACATGTCCAGTAAAAAAACGTAAAAAATCAAATTTCGACATAAATTTAGGCCAAAATGTATTCTTCTACATGTCTTTGCTAAAACAAAATCCCAATACATGTAAATTAATTGGTTTACGTGAAAGTTAAAGCATTTACAAATGGTGGTATGGATACTGGAATTTTTTTTTTTGACGAAAAAAAAAAAAAAGCAGTGACACGGTACTAATGGCACTGGGCAGGAAGGAGTTAAAATGAAGGGCGATCAAAGGGTTAACTGTGTGGAGTGTTTTATTAGGGGGCTGTGTCAGTGTGCTTCACTGTAAGCACACTTGTTTGTTGCAACCCCTAAAATTGTCACTTTTGTGAGTCAACTTAGTCCGCATGAAAATGCGGACAGAAATCTAGGCAAATGAAGGCATGTAAAGTAAAAAGCAATTCAGTTCATATACCGAATACGGTCATTACAAATCTACGACCTACAGTTACAAGAATAAATTTTTTCATTGTTGTAGGTCGCTAATTAGGACCTGCGTTGAGAGAACTTTGAGAGCTGCCATTGCAAATCTCCTAAGTATACTAGATTCTTGCTAGTATTTTAGCTGTTTCTACTTGCCTGAGACATTGACTTGAAGGAAGCTTGTAGTTCTGGAAAGGCAGAGTTAAATCAAACTTCTGAATATGGTACCTGCTGGTAATTGTGTGTGTGTGTGTGTGTGTGTGTGTGTGTGTGTACACACACACATATTTTGTGTGTAATATAATGGATTGACACAGGGAAAAAGTATTGAACATGCTAACTGAAATTTATTTAATACTTTGTACAAAATCCTTTGTTGATCATGACAGCTTCAAGATGCCTCCTGTATGAAGAAACTAGTCACATGCATTGCTCAGGTGTAATTTTGCCCCATTCTTCCACACAGTCTTCCAGTCTTGAAGGTTCCATGGGCCTCTTCTATGAACTCTGATTTTTAGTTCTTTCCATAGATTTTCTATTGGATTCAGGTCACGTGATTGGCTGGGCCATTCTAGCAGCTTTATTTTCTTTGCTTTTCCTTGGCTTTGCGCTTGGGATCATTGTCTTGCTGAAATGACCACCTTCGTTTCATCTTCATCATCCTGGTAGATGGCAGCAGATTTTTATTAAGAATGTCTTGGTAAATTTTTCCATTCATCCTTCCTTCAACGATATGAAGTTTGCCAGTACTGTACGCTGAAAAACAGCCCCACACCATGATGTTCCCACCTCCAAACTTCACTGTTGGTATGGTGTTTTTGGGGTGATGTGCAGTGTCATTTGACCTCCAAACATGTTGTGTATTATGGCACCCAAAGAGTTCCAAGTTTGGTCTCATCTGACCAGACTATATTCTCCCAATATTTCACTGGCTTGCCCAATTTTAACCACTTGCTGACTGGTGATAGCCGTATGACGGCTTCACTGCGGCCAGCCAGTTCTGGGAGGGCGTCATATGACGTACTCCTGTGATCGCGCTTCCCGCACACCCCCGGCGGCACGCATTGGAAACTGTAAGTGATGGGTGTGTCCCTCGGATACAGCGCATTATGAAGAGGGGGATGAAGGGCCAATTGTAGAGGCTGTTTACATTTGTGATCGCTCTGTCCAATGACGAGCAATCACAAATATAAACACAGAAGAGTCATGGCTGGGTTTTCTCTCTCCTTTCCTCACACCAATACTGAGTGTGAGGAAAGGAGAGTGAATCTGTTTCTAAACTGTGAGTGTTCTCATCGGTGCTCATCAGTATTCATTGGTGCCCATCTGTGCACATCAGTGCCCATTAGTGAGGTCTCATCAGTGGCACCTCCATCAGCACCCACAGTGCAGCCTAATCAGCACCCATCAGTGCAGCCACATCTGTCCCAGTATGTATAAAAAATTATTTTCCTGTGAGGAGGCCTACCAAATCCTAACCATGACCAACGAGAGCAGTGCGGAGCTCTCCGAGTCTGATTCTGATTTGGATTATGAGCAGTGGGTCTGCTACAGAATCAGAGGAGGAGGAAAGTGTGCCCACCAAACGAAGGCGTTCTGGTGAGGAGCAGGCTACCACAAGTAGCGCAGTGGCATCCACTACTAGAGCAGTGGCTTCCACCAGAAATGGAGAACCTCAAGAAAGGCCAGGTACTAGTGGGGTGTCATCTTAGCCCCAAAGGGTTAAGACCCATGCGGCTCTTCCATATGCCCTTCAAAACCCCTTCTGTCTTTCCCCTAACTCTGGAGCAGCTAACATCCCCCCCTTTTTACTGTCTAGCCAGAAGTCCATGTGAACACAGAAAATTTTGCCCCCATTGATTTTTTTAAATTTAATTTTTACCGATGACTTGCTAAATTCAGTTGTGGACCAGTGCAAGCTCTATGCCCAACAATTCATAGCCACCAACCCAGATTCAAGTTATGCCCGTCCCTATTTATGGAAGCAGTTAACAGTGGAAGAATTTAGAACCTTTTTGGGCCTCACATTTAATATGGGCCGCACAAAAAATAATCAATTACACTCCTACTGGTCTACACACCCAAAAAAATAAATTTTTATTTTTTTTTTCCACATTTTCCAAAAACGTGGAAAAAAATGACATGTTCAAAAGACTCATTATGCCTCACAAAAAATACATTGGAGGGTTTGCTTTTCAAAACTGGGTCATTTTGTGGGTGTTTCCTCTGTCCTGGTGCTCCAGGGCCTGTGATCGGTTATCATGAACTTTTTTGCCCCTAGAACGACTAAAGGTGCTACTTGGATGTTGGGACTCTGTATGTGGTCAGGCTGTGGAAAAGTCTCACGCATTTGGTATCGTTATATTCAGGAGGAGTAGCAGAAAGTATTATGAGGTGTATTTTGTGGTATTTACATGCTATGTGTTAGAAATATCTTATGAATGGACAACTTTGTGTAAAAAAAAAAACACGTTTTCAT